CTGCCTTTGGCTGTACATGCCACGTGCGCGCACGCTCTCAATGTATTTTTAATAGGAAAACTTAGGTTAACTTTGACCGGTCCTAGCTCAAAAAATACTTTGTAGATTTTAAATCTAAAAGCAGGTTCCTTGTCCTATAGCCTTTACCTGTTACTGTGCCAAATTTGGGAACGATTGGTTCAGCCGTTGAAAAGCCTTTCGCTGGACAAGCCACCCTCTTCCTCGCCAGCGATGACGCAATATTTCAATTGTTTTTCCCTATAAAAAACTGTTTTTGACTTTGACCGGCCCTAGCTCCCAAACGGCTGAGAGTTTTTCAAATCTGAAAACAGGTTGCAACTCTCACAGAACTTAGCTGTAACTGTGCCAAGTTTGGTGGCAATCAGTACAGTTGCTTAAAAGAATTAGGTTGAACAAAGGAAAACTTTCCACCGATTTTGACCCAATCATAGACTGTCACTTACAAAAACACCTCGCTTCACTCGGTGTTTTTGTGCGCTCCAGTCAATTGTGATCACATTAAACGCTGTATAAGGCTGAATAAGAAGCAAATCCTGCATTGTTAGCTTTTCCGCTAAGCAAAAAAGTTATTTTTATAGTGCAAGCGAGCTTATACTTCTCCAGAGAGAATGCCTCGTTAGCTCAGTTCGGTAGAGCATTAGGCTTTTAACCTAAGGGTCACGTGTTCGAATCATGTACGAGGCGTTTCCGGTTCCTTTTTGGGTTTTTTAAAGCCTAGAACGGAAGAGGAAGGTCCCAGGAACATTTTGGTGAAAGCAGAACTCCAAAAACCTTCGTAGAACTCGAGATATGGACGATTGAAGTTTAAGTTGGTTTCTCTTATTTTGTATTGCCTTCAGGCAGTGCAGTGAAGCGTTTTTAATGAGGAACGCCCTATTTAAGTTAAGAAACAAAAAAAGAAGTTCTTAGGAACCCATATCAACTGCTTGGGTGCTCGTACAATCACAAATTGTAAGTTTGTACAAAAGGGATCAACACATACATTCATAGAGATTATAAAAAAGTTTCACTAAGAAAAGACTGCCTAACTCCTGTCTTCTCTGGAAATTCACTTGGACTCATTTAACTGGTTCCTGCTGTACATCAGCTTTGTACATCACTGTACAGAAGTAAATCATCGCCTCAACAATAAAAACTTCCAAAATGCATGTAGGAAAATAAAAAATTCCTTCGCAGATTACATGATGCAATAGTTGAGCAATCTCACACTTTTTTAAGCGGTTTACGACTTTGACCAATTTCACCGAAACTCATCTAATTGAAGAAAATCCTCTCCGACAACTTGACAGATTTACGACCTTTTCCCGGACTCGACGCTTCACATCCGGAAGAAGTGCACAATCGCACCTGTTAATGAGAAATAGAAACTTCGAGAAACCGCCAATTTCCAGTATAAAAGCAGACCGAAACCTGAGCAGATATCATCCAGTGTGGATCGTAGCAGACTTCACGCCTGACTAACTTTTCGTCTATTCAAAC